ATCTCCATCTCGTTGAGGTCTCCCTCCATCTTCTTCTTGATTCTCAGGGCATCGTTCCTGCTCCTGACCTCAGCATCCAGAGTGCTCTGCATGGAATCCATCACTCTCTGGCTGTTCCTCTTGATCTGCTCAATCTCCTCGTCCTTCTCTGCAAGTTTTCTGTCAACTTCACTCTTGACTTGGGTGAGTTCAAGCTGAACACGGAGAATCTTAGACTCCTCATGCTCCAGGGTAGCCTGTGAACAAGTGTGACCTTTGTAAACTACAGTGAAGAACATCTTTTGTATTAAAAAATACAGAAACTGAATCATGCTAAAGAAAGGTCGCCCATGTCGAACACCTTTACAGGACCAGTCTCACAGAGATATGGTTTAAAACTCTGCTTTTAGTTTCAAACTCTGTAAATGTTCTTTTAAAGAATTTGAAATGTTATACCAGTTCTTTGTATTGCTAATGAACCTTGGTCTCTCATTGAACTCTTGTTCAGTTAGTTCTGCTGTCAGTGTCACTGTAAGTTAGCACGTAGAGCTCAGTTTTACCTCGGCCTCCTCCAAAGCAGTCTGGATTTCTGACTTCTCACTTTCCACTGTCTTCTTCCCCTTCTCAAGCTCATGGATTGTCTTACCAGTCTCACCAAGCTGCTCGCTCAGGTCTGAGATCTCCTCTGTTGGAGCACATTATCATTGCAGAGGCATAAAATAATATATTTGAATAAAATAATCAAAATACTTAAAATAAACTGTGTGTGTTTTGGGAAATGAAGCGACTGATCAAAAACAGGAATGACTGTCTTACGTTGCAGGTTCTTGTTCTCCCTCTTCAGGGTCTCCAGGTGGTCCAGAGCCTCTTCATAGGAGTTTTTCATTTTGAACAGCTCAGTGCTCATTGAGCGAGCCTCCTTCTGAGCTCCCTCCAGCTCAGCCTGGCTCTCTTCATACTTCTGCTTCCACTCTGCAAGAATCTAAAGGTACAGCAAACNGGATGGATGGATGGATGGATGGATGGATGGATGGATGGATGGATGGATGGATATCAGGTAGCTGGACCAGCTTTATCCTGTAGAGGGCTGGAGTCCATGTCAGCTGACATTGGACAGTCCATCCCAGGGCTGATTCAAAGAAGACAGACAACTATGCTCGCTTGCTCTCAAACCTACGGCCAGTTTAGAATCACAGATTAACCCTCCATGAATGTCAGCGGACTGAAGAAGAACATGCAAACTCCACACAACTGACCAGCAGGTTTGAACCCAGAACCTTCATACTGAGACACAACGGTACTAAACAGTACTACGGTAACATATATTACAGGAATAAGATGAAGAGAGCTGAAAATATGGTAGAAACATGATTACTGATGGCTAATTGTATAATGCTTCTGGCCAATCTGAGCAACGAGACACCAGCAAAGACTGTAATGACACCCAAAACTATACACGCTTGTCTTTCCTTCAACCACTGTTAAGTATGTACCAGACAAAGGAAACATTGAAGGCAGCAGACTGGCAAAATAATTTATTGAATGTAGATCTACAACATTTAGGGAGAGAATTTCAATGAAAGATCATATTTTATGATTTTCATTTGGGTCTCTCGTAGAGCTGGCAGCTTATTCTTCAGCCTCCTTTGCCTGAAAGCAAGAGAGAAAAACGAAATGAATGACCTTCAGCATGCGAGAGGACTGATGTCAGAGAAAATATCCTGTCATTAGCTTTCATTTGGAACATTTAAGTGAAATTTGAATTCAAATCCACACTTAACAACACAATGTAATAGTTTTCTTTTATAGCTTTTTAAATGCAATGATAAGTTATCTTCATTGCTTTTTATGTGCCCTTATTCACCATAACATACCTGTTCATGTGAAAGTTGTACACACAGTCTTTATTATGATCTTATATTTCTTGTCTTGTTTTATTTTTACTATGCTTCATTGTTATCTAACTGCTCAACAAGCCCCAGTGAGGCATCAATACAGTTGAACTTAACCCAGTCGTATCCTCATGTGGCTCATTAAATCCGTTGTGTTGATGAACTGTTACTCAGTGCTTGAGTTTCATGTGCCACTTACTTTTCCGATTTCCCGACTCTTTGCCCTCAGCTTGTTGACCTGGGACTCGGCGATGTCGGCACGCTCCTGAGCCTCCTCCAGTTCGTGCTGCACCTTCCTGAGCCTGGACAAGTGAGTGTTGGCCTGCTCCTCCTACAAGGACATACAACACTGGAGTTACCATCCACGACGACTGACGATAGAGACTCTGTGATTCTGGTAATAACTGTCAGACTACTGTGATCAGAACCAACTGAGACAACACAGAGCAAAAGGTAAAATACAGAAGCAAATGTGCGACTCACCGCCTCCTCAGACTGTCTCTTGTAGGCCTTTACTTTCAGCTGCAGTTTGTCCACCAGATCTTGGAGCCTCACAACATTCTTCTTGTCCTCCTCAGTCTGTGGCCACATTCATTTACAAATTCATTTATACGCACTTTCAGCGGATGTCTGCATCGTTCAAATGGGAAACAAAGCAGCTTCCTACCTGATAGGTGAGCTCCTTCACTCTCCTCTCATATTTGCGGACACCTTTGATGGCATCCGCTCCTCGTCTCTGCTCACCCTCCACTTCATTCTCAAGCTCACGCACCTGAAATATGAGTCGTGTATTACTGGGAGTTCAAAACTGACAATAGTTGGGATCAC